TCTCCAAAATTCAGAAGCAGAATAAGAGGGATTATTTTTTTTCACTTCCTTTTTCCTTTCCTAATTTGTAGTTGTCTATAGAGATAACACTTTCTTCACACACCAGCATGTTGACCTTTCAGAAAACGCACAGGCCAAGCATGAGATGAGACTAGAGAAGCAGAAACAAAGGAATGACCAGTGTTTGGTCACCCGTGGAGTTGACTGCTGTAAAAAGCCCAGGTTTGTCTTGATTTTTGGATGAAAAGGGTAAAGCAGGAGACAATGCTGGTGTGTAGAGGGCACTTTTCAGTGGTACCATTGCAGTAGAAGGGAACTAGTTGTTTCATATGTAGATTGATCACCTGGACAAGGGTTTGCAGAAGAGGCTGAAGGCACTGACTTGCCCAATGGCTGTAGCCTCTGAAAATCCCAATTGCATTTCTTTGTTTCTGAGGCATTCACTGAGCTCATGCCAGAGTGCCATATAACGTGGACTAAACCACCCTCCTCATATTCCCCCTGCCCAAAATGGGTGTTTGTCTTCCAGAGATCCCCGTCTTCCATTGCCACTTGGCTCAGACTAGTCTTAAAGTAGTTAAGTCTGTGCCTTTACACCTTGCTAAGGCCTCACCGTATTTTAATAGTCAAATAATACTTTACCATAGCTGGTTTGTTTTGCTCTGTAATTGTTTTGGTTTTCTTATACTCCATTTCTTATTTATGAATCACTTCAAAACAGGCCAATGGAAGTCTTCAAGTAGGCTTTTAAACAAGTTTTGACAATGTTTTTTAGTCATTCAGAGCTAAAAATAATACAAATCAGCAGGTACAGTCTGGAGAAGAGTGCCTTCAACCCCTAAAGGACCTTTTACTGCATTTGCTCCCTAGAGGGAGGCAAATAGGGAGGAAAAAAAAAGAAAAAAAAAAAAGGCATCTGTTCCATTTGTTCACCTTACTAGGCTGTAAATGCCAAGGCTTAGCTCTGAGCAGTGCTACCATCTTCTTCACCTCAGAAGAGAAAAATTTGTCTTGTCTGTGATGAAAAATTTAGAAGGATTCTTTTCTCCCTGCTATGTGAGGTTAATAGTATGACTGGCACAAGAGGTAGTGACAGCTTGCTTATGCTCCTCTAATGGGACGCTGAATGATATGTTCATGTTTTCCCAAGAATAATTTAGAAATGGTCTTTGGCATCTCCAGTCACTGGCCCCTCCTAATCCCTTGCTTCATTCTTGGGCTCTTGAGTATTTTTGAGTGTCTGCCACTTCTTAGCCATTTTTGTAGGTGAGCTTCTTCATTGTAGTTTAGTTCTTTGGTCTCAACAGTACATTTGTACCATTTCTCAATCTGGATCACAGGAGAAAGCACCTGAATGTATTTTGGTTCTCTGGACAGCAAAAAGGACAATCCCATTTCCCTCTAGCTGCTTGCCTTTCTGTTACAGAGACTGTGGAGTGACAGAGTCACAGAAATACTGATCGGGCAGCATCCTCAGCAATAGTCAGCTTTTAACAGAAATACTTGGAAGACTGTAAAATTTTGAAGTATTTTGTTTTGTAACACATATGTCACAGGACAGTAATCAGTATAGATTTAAAAAGCAAGAGATTTGTCTTTTCAGCTTTGAACAGCCAGCAAGCTCCCAAGAATAGAAGTGGCAGCACAGTGGAGTCCTGGTGGAGCTACAGGGCACAAGAACCACTTCTTAACTTCTCACCAGTGGTCTGCAGAAGTGTACATCTATCTGTACACACACATAAAATTAAATATCACCTATCTTAACATCTGCAATTGGTACAGAAGTTGGGGGGGGCAGGTAGATCATGAAGAAGAGGAAGCAGTGAGCAGGATTTTCAATAACCTGCAAATAATGTTCAGGTTTTGGATAACATTCACATAACTTTGTTCTGACACAGCCAAATTTAGGACTGTCAGCCCCAAAAGCCTTCCCGCAGAGGGAGCTCTGTTTGCATTGGCAAAAGGTTGAGGTTTGCACTAGAAAAGCAATTCAGCAAGGTCTGGTAGCTGCAATCACTGCAGTCCTGACTTGTATCAGAGAGAGAATCCACATATCTTTGTAAGTGTTTACAAGCCCAATCATGCTTACCATAATGGAGTCCTAAAATTTTTAAAGGTCAAAAAACAGAAAGTACAGAAAGAGCTGCAATAGTACCTTGAGGTATTTACAGCTCCATCAGTTTGGATTATCAAAACAGAAATAGGGGCTGGGCTGAGTACAGGCACCTAGGTTACGTTTTCAGGAAGAGACAATACCACATGCCTCTTTCAGCTATTGGAGATGGGGTGTAGAAGCAGTGGGTGGATGCTGACCAATACAAAGTCAAATGAGAAAATCACAACTTGAACAGAAATGTTAACCTGGACAAAATACCACTGGACTGGGTACAGCATCCCTCTCTCGATGACTCCAGACTATGTTCAAATATCTTCCCGAAAAGATACTTGGGAAGTGAGATGGGTGTATTTGATATCTCTTCTGGGATAATACAGTGATTTGCATCCCTTTGGGGGTAATTCACAAAAGGGCAATATTCTGAATGGATGGAGGTGGACAAAATTTAACCCTGCTCTCTTTTGAGGTGAAGACGAAGATTTTTACATTGACTATAATGCCACTGATCCAGAGAAGCAGTTGTATCATCATACATCTTAGCAATGCAAAGGTTATCCAGAATTGTGTTTGAAAAGTTGATATCAGAGAAAACAGTTTAAAAGAAGCTTTCAGGTTAGGACCCCTTTGGCAATGCAGCAGTCATTCCTGACATGACCCTCAGAGGGCCACATAGTGCAAGCAGCTGGCTGCACACTAAGTTTTGCATTTTTAGGGCAAGACACAGTATCCAAATTGTCATTTGGCCTCCTCAAGGGAAAACCAGCAGAGGCTTGCCATGTTCTACATCTGTATTTAGTCAGACAATTAGTAGTGCCCATTTCTGTATATGCTGTCAGATCCCTAAAAACGCTGTCGTGGTTTAAGCCTGGCTGGCAACAAAGCACCACAAGGCTGTTTGCTCACTCATCCCTGTGGGTGGGACGGGGAGGAGAAAAATACAATGAAAGTCTCATGGGTCGAGACAAGGACAGGGAGGGATCACTCACCACTTATGGTCATGGGCAAAAAACAGACCCAACTTCGGGGAAAAAACAAAATCAGTTTAATTTACTACAAATCATATCAAAACAAGGATAATGAGAAAAACTAAATCTCAAAACACCTTCCCCCCACACCTCCCTTCTTCCCAGGCTTAACTTTACTGCTAGTCCTCTCTCCCTCCTCTCCCCGGCAGCGCAGGGGGACGGGGAATGGGGGTTGGGGTCGGTTCCTCACACGTCGTCTCTGCCGCTCCTTCCTCCTCAGGGGGAGGACTCCTCACTCCTCCCCTGCCCCACCGTGGGGTCCCTCCCACAGGACACAGTCCTTCACAAACTTCTCTGCTGTGGGTCCCTCCCACAGGCTGCAGTCCTTCAGTCCCAGCCTGCTCCAGCGCGGGCTTCCCCAGGGAGTGGCGGCCATCTTGGGGGCATCCACCCCCCTGCTCCGGCGTGGGCTCCTCTCTCCCCGGGCTGCAGGTGGGCATCTGCTCCCCCGCTCCCCTCCGTGGGCTGGGGGGGGACAGCCTGCCGCCTGGTCTCACCACGGGCTGCGGGGGCAGCCCCTCCTCCCCTCCTCCCCCGCTGACCTCGGTATCTGCAGAGGGGTTCCGCTCACGTCCCAATCCCACTACTCACCGCAGGTTTCCCCTCTTAACTCTGTTCTCCCAGAGGCGCTACCGCCATCACTGAGGGGCTCGGCCTGGGCCAGCGGTGGGTCCGACGTGGAGCCGGGGAAGCTTCTGGCAGGTTCTCACAGGAGCCGGCCCTGCAGACCCTGCCCCGCGACCAAAACTCTGCCACACAAAACCAGTACAATCCCCCATGAAATTTGAGTGTATTGTTCAAGAACTTTCATAGCTGACGACAGCAACCATCAGACTGCAGCGAAAGCTCAGGCCAGGGAAATGGAAAATTGTGAAATGCAGATCTGCTTCCTCAGCTCCCACTGCACTCTTTCCTTCAAACTTACATTATTAAATGCAGTACTTCCTAAGAATCAGAATTTTAAAAAGCACAAAATGAGATTGCTCTCAGATTGGGAGTAATGCACATTTCTATTTTAGGAGCATGACAATCTCCATGAAATTGTGCCGGGAATATAGACACAAACATTTGTGTACAGTCCCTGCACTGCACTGGGACTTCAGCACTAGTTTAAAACTCCCTTTCTTAAGAGGTATGTTTTCTTGTATCTGAGAAAGATTCAAATGCCACAGAAAGAAGAACTACTGTCTCAAATGTCTGAAATCATACATTTCCTGAGAGGAAAAAATACCAGCTGAAAAGCTACATGTTATGGTCATTTAAAATATTTTATTAAGCTACAGTCAGTTGCAGTGTTTGCAGATAATGGATATTAAACATGAAAAGCATTGGTCTGTATTGTTTAACTGAATCTCAGCTCTCATCTTACATACTTCTATTAATGTTGGCTGGCAGAAGAGAACATATGTTTCTTTTTTTTTATGCTATGTGTGGATTTTTTTTTAAATAAGTTATATAACAAGCCCACACATCTACTTGGTTGCAACATGTCAAGGGCTGGTTATTTGCAGGCAGAAAAAATACTGTTAAAATGCACCTTGGTTGCTGTATTTCATAGTCAGAGAATATTACATACAATCTCCCATTTGCACCCAACTTCATTTTAAGGTTCTTTTCGTTAACTTAGCATTAACTTAGTGTTAAATATATTTCTAATATAGTTTGCAGTAAGCTAAGAGATTTTTGCAGAAACAAGTTTTTAATAATCATTACACTGTAACTGTTACAGAAGCTTATATTGCATATTGCAAAGCCCACCAGCAAGTCTTCATAAACGCCTCACTTCAGTATTTTGCAGGCAGGTACAGAGCTTGCTTCCTTACATTGCCCACGGTTCTATTTATTACTTTATTTTGCAGTTCTTTCCATATGGAGATGCTTCAAAGTTTGCCCAGCACGCCTTCCGAACCTTTGATAAAAACGGAGATGGGACCATTGACTTCAGAGAGTTCATTTGTGCACTGTCCATCACCTCACGAGGCAGCTTTGAGCAAAAGCTAAACTGGGCCTTCAACATGTATGACTTGGATGGTGATGGTAAAATTACAAGAGTGGAAATGCTGGAAATTATAGAGGTGAGATCAATATGACACTCAAAAATTACATGTCTGAACATTAATAAAATTTACTTGTTCACATACCCTTTAGATTTTAAGCACGCGGGAGGTTGTACTGTATCATTAGAAGCATACATTACATACATTCGTCCTATACTGACTCATGCCTAAGTGCTGCAAGCACACTAACATTTTAAAAGATGTAATCTTTGAGAACTACTGAGTGCATATGTGCATATAAGCTTTTAAATACCCAGAGGTAATTTATTTCTTTTTTCTGATGAACAGATTAACCATAAGAAGACAGCAAAGGATTTACAAAGCCCATCTCAAAATCACTTGGCACCCATGAAATTAGTGGTTTGTAGCTCAAGTAGCTGAAACCTTACTGGAAGTTAACTTTAGATGATTACAGAAATTTACAGGGATAATACCACGCTATTTTATGTGAGCTCTCACAAATGGGCTTTAAGATGACCACAGCATGTAACAGGAAGGATAAAGTTTACCACCCTCGTAATCTGCTAGCTACTCACCACAGTAAATACCAGATTTTGCTGACATGTACACATAAAAAAACTATTAAAAGGTGATGACTTCTAAAACTGATTATTTAGAATTTATGTGAAATATTTCAAAGGAGTGATTAAAAGCCAAATAAACAGTTGATCTAGAGAATAGGTTACAACAGTTTTGCACTGTGAAACAGAAAGCCAAAAAAATTCATTCCAGAATGCAAAATGCAACCACCGAAAAATCTACATCTAAAGAAAGTAAAACACATTCTTCCTTGTTTTAAGTATATGGATATAAGATTCTAAGGAAAAAAAGAACAAAAATTTTTAGGGAAACTGGCAATCATTTTATTGTTGGAAAGTCTTTCCAAAATTTGATCACATCAAAAAATCAGGTTAATTCATATGTTGAATTTTCCATTTGGTTTCTTTTCAAAGGCCATCTACAAAATGGTGGGCACTGTGATAATGATGAAAATGAATGAGGATGGTCTGACGCCTGAGCAACGGGTAGACAAGATCTTCAGTAAGATGGATAAGAACAAAGATGACCAGATCACACTGGATGAATTCAAAGAAGCTGCAAAGAGTGATCCTTCCATTGTATTACTCCTGCAGTGTGACATTCAAAAATGAGCTTGTGTACAATGCGTCATAGACTGCACAGAAGTTTAATGTTCCATTCAGTTTGCAGCTATTTCCACACACACAAAAATTTGCTTGGACTACCTATAAATGGACTTGCTTCTTGTGTTTGAAACACTTGTGTGCATGAGAATGTCATTTGCTAAAGAATTTTAAAAGTATATATTATAAAAATAAACTGCCACAACGTGATGTGTGCAATGTCATTTCATAACAACCCTATTCCTCTGAAGCCTGTGCAGCAGTCCTGTGCTGCAGTGAATTATATTATTTATTGTTCATGTTTTACTGATGCTAGCTCTGTGTCTCCTAGACTGAGTAATGTTAGTGACATTGAATTCCCATGGTAATGTTAACTGTTTATTATAAATCATGTCACCATTCTGCTGTAAAGTAGTACTGGACAGACAGAGGGGAAGAGTTCCTCAGCTCTTAAGTCTGATCCACACATGTGCTTGTATTGTCAGTGGATATAAATGTACTTCATTTGCATGCCTTTTAGGTTTGCCTTAATTCTTACCTCATTTGCATCCCTTCAATCTGGAAAGAGCTATGTCAGAGGAATGCAGTATAAAGAAAAGAAAATCCTGCTAAAATGATCCCTTTAATTAAAAATATATATAAATATATATATAATGTTTAAAATATTGTTTTATTGGAAGTTTAAAGGTTTTATTGGAAGTGTATTGATCTTTGCCTGAATTTTCAAAAGCTTCCACAGAGGTTGCAATATATATGTCCCAAAATAAATTTATAACATTTGACCTTTTCCCCTAATTCTTATTTCATGTCTTCACCACAGTAATAGGAAAAAAAAAAGTTCAATCTCTTTAATTATCTGTCACTGTACTACTGAGAAATATATATTTCATTATGAAAGCATGAAGAAAACTTCTTTGCACGCACTCAGCCCACTAGAAGAGTCATTTTATATGAAACCAAAAGTTGTAGTTCTTGTGTTTACCCACAGAGCAGCTGTTTATCCTCCAAGATTTGACAGTGTACCTACTAGACCTCTGCTTACACAGCTTTTCAAGCTAGCTGGAAGTCAAATAGTTTATTTGCTTGGTCTAAACCTGGTCTAATGTTTTCCCCTCCTTACGTAAGAGTCTTTTCTCTTACCATATGACAATAAACTACCCCGGGTTTAATATAAACATGCATGTTGTTAAAAATGAGTACTTACTGATAAATTAATCAAAGTATGATGATTGAGAAGGGATAGTGAAGAGAACCACCTTCCTCTTCAATTCTATGTACATCCATCAAGTTTATACTGTGGCAAATACAAGTTCTGCACAGCCCTAGGAAAGCATCAAGAACTAGCAGACTGTAGAAATTGCAGATGAAAATCTTTCCTACACCACATTTCCCAGTTGCTTTAAACAGTTGGTTGCTTGCAGGATTAAAAAAAAAATAGCCTGAACATCTTATAATTGCATGTTTGATATTTCTTCTTTACCTTATGAAGAAATGAGACGGTACTCTTAACAGCTAAAAATCAAAACAATAAAACATGACACAAACCAAATCATTCTCTGTATTTTCAACTTTAAAAAGTGAAGTTCATCTTAAACTTGAGGGGAAAAAAAACCAACAAAATTTTATACATTTTTGCTAACTAACACGGTGGGGGAAACACAGAATCAATTGTTGCCACAACCACAGCCATCCTCTCATATTTATATTCCAAACAAACAGCAAAAGGCAGAACTTTCAACTACGTTTTTTAATACCAGAATTTTACTTAGAATACACAGGTAATAGTCTTAGCAAATTAAAGAGTGGTATACTTTGTACATTTGGCTGTAACTTAAAAACACACATTCTGAAAATGTTACATACTTCTGAGAATGATATGCCCATTGTTTCCACTTAGGCTTAAATTACTAGTTGTAGAGAAGATGTTGAATATTCCTGGGAATTTATGCCTCTCTGGTTTACATATACTTATTAGAGAAGCAGTACCTCATTCTACATTTCTCTGCACCTCAGATTTATGTAGCTGGACAGGCTCCATTTACTTTAATGCAGTGTTAAGCAATGCATAGCCATCCAAAATGGCCAACAATACAAACAGTCAGAAAATGTAACATCAGCACTGCAATTCTCTCTCTAGGTAGCTGGTATAGTAAACTCAGTATTTAAAGTACCAAGAATAAGATAGTTTTGAGACCTTAGTAGGATCACTGCAAAAATAAGTGCATCCAAGCAAGTTCTTCAGTAATTGTTTATTCAGAACTAATCATCTACCATGAAAACAGTTGTTTATAATAATTATACAGTCAGGCACACATTTTAATCAAGTACAGTGCTAGATCAGAATAAATACAATCTATTGATTTGAAGCAAAGACCAGAATTGTTGCCAACTGCTCCAATATTTCAAGTAAGTCTATAGAAAACTTGGGAGAAAGCTGAAGTGTTAGCTCAGTAGGAATGTGGTAATTTTCCTTAAGCTCTTCTCTCCACATAACTCATTATAAAACTACTAATGAAGATAAATGCTTTCTCTCCTGCCTCTGCACTCTTGCTTTATTTTTTGGATGAAGAAGAAAATCAGGAGGAAATAATGCTATGCCATTCTATCATTTCATATTGTAAAAGGGTCTGAAACATTCTAGTTTCATCATAAAATTGAGTCAAACTAAACACATGGTTCATGATCACATAATAGTATTGAGGACTCCCAATACAAACAAACCAGACTTGTGTTCCAGGCAAGTTTTGCAAAGCAGGCACTTTGTATGACTCCCCACCCCCCACCCCAGCTCCAGTATTTTCACATAATCCTGAAGTTGTAAGTATCTTTTATATTCCGTCAAATCACAGTATTATGGAATTGTTTAGTTTGGTAGAGACCTTCGGGGGTCTCTTGTCCAACTCCCTGCTTGAAGGAGATGCAGCAGTCTAGTCAGACCCTGAAAGCCTCCAAGGATGGAGATTCTATAGCCTGTTAGGACAACATGCTCAAATGCCTCATATCTTCATCATGAGCAATCCCTCCCACCAGTTTATCCAGCCAGAACCTCCCCACTTCAATTTATGATTGCTGTCTGTCTCTTCTGCCACACACTTCAACAAAAAGCCTGATCCTGTTTTGTCAGTAACCTCCTCAAGGCTGCTATGAGGCTGTTGGCCCATTATCCTGGGTTTTCAGAAGTAAACATCTGAAGCCTTCAAAAGATCACTAGACTTAATTCCTACAGTTAGAATGCACTAGAACTGCAGCTAGCTTTCTCAGTGTATTTCCTTCAATTCTTATCTAGCTCCCATATTTTAGAGATACCTACAAGTTTAATACATGTTTGTGTAAAAACTAAACAACATTAAAGAATACAAAATACTGTGCAGCGGCTAAAACAAATTCAGCGACAAAGTCGAGTTAAAACTTACACTGCAATGAGGTTTTATTGAGGAATTGCTATTCAGTAAATAACTGTAGAAACTGCAGAACTGTTCTCTGAATAGTCTCAATGGCTTGTATCCCCATAACATTAAAAAAAAAGTACGTCTAATGTCTGAACTCTAAAAAGTGATTGCTTTTGAAGAGCTCCCAACAATTTCAAGTTCCTGGAGAAAGGAGAACAGAAAATAAAGTTAATTTGGGGCAGTTTGAAAAATCTGGTTCTTCTTTCTCCCTCTCATACCCAGTAAATACTTGTATTATTTAAATAAAGCAAGTTTATTTTATTTTAACTGCTCTAGTATAGTCCCAGGGGAGGGGGGGCAGGGACACCCAACAAAATGCAGGCCTACAGTGCTGTAAAAAAGTTACTGTATTATTTCCCAAAAGTCTTATTCTATTTCATTCCTCTATATTGGAAGGACTTCTGTCACTTCAGTTTGTTATAATATAATGAGTGTCTACAGATTTAGTCTATACCTGCAAACTCAGACTGTGCAAGAACTTAGTTTATTGGAAATAAGAATATGAGTTTATAAAGCCACAATTTGCTAGGTTGTACAAGCTCGTGTCCAAAGAATCTCAAACTCTTCCCCATAAACTCTTTACGAAGAAATAAAAGCATTTTTTTCCTGCCCAGAGAATACACTGCAAATAAATTTTTCACTTCTCTAATTATGAAAGTATACACTGTAAGTACTGATAGTTTCTCATGTTCAGCTGCTATGGTTCCACTGGAAAAAAATGAAACACGTTTTACCTGTATTAATTAGCACATGTTTAAGAAATAAAGCAGAGCTAGGAAGAAACCAACATTTTTAACTTAATGCAAAGTTTAACTGTGTAGAGACACTAAAACATTACCACAAGTATCAGTTCTCACTGTTTATTAAAATATTACTCCATAATTATACAAAATATATTTCATCTTTTCCAGAAGAAAAAACAGAACAACTGATAAAAAAATTGTACTAGTTAAAAATATCAACTGAACATTCAGGGTTTTCTCATCATCAAAACTGTTTATTCTTGGTCTGTACACATCCAATAACTCTTAAAAAATAAAAATACGAGAACCTCTTCTTTTCCTGACAGTATCTAACAAAAGATCCCCTTATCCAGCGTCAGGAAGTAACAACTTTACACACATCATTACACATTTATCCTCAATAGTATGCCATATTCATACACAGAAATACTTATTGATCTTCCTCTTTGTCATTCCTATTTTGGAAATTCAACATTCTTTGGCCTCTTTCCGGGTCTTGCATTCGGAGAATTCGAATACGGGGACTCGTAGGCAGAGAACTAAACATAAAGTATGCAACATTTACACAGTGTTTCTTCTCCACAAATTTTAGTATTTTCACTTGATTCTTTCCATTACATATTTTCCTTTAAGTAACTCCCTCTTTTTTCTTTGACAGTTTTAAGAAACAGTAACATGGGGTGAAGTCCTGGCTTCACTGAACTGATACTGGAGCCAGACTTCACTAAAAGCTTGAGGTAAACACAACTATTTCAATCATGTAATTTCTAATGATTAGACTGCCTTAATTATAGAAAAGGCACTTTTAAGAGAAACTCTAAATGAAATAATGATCAAATACAGTTCATATTTGCCTTACAGGTCCTGAACTGGCACACACTTTATACATGTATAATCACGTCATACGAAGAATGAGCAAAGTTACTAAACATACATTTATACAGGCTTCTCCACCAATTATCCTAAATGTATTTTTTCTGAAGGTGCCTCTGTACTTTTGTTAAATTAAGTGTTTGCTGAACATGCAACATGTAACAAAATATAATAAAACCAAGCTGCACTTGAATTATTCAGTTTTTAAACAGTAACCATACAGAAAATTCCTATATGTTTATTGAATATGGTTTCAGAAATTCCCCACAAAGCATTTCTACTTAAACAACAACAGAATACCATTATTCTACTTTTTATAGATTTTAGTAAGGGAAGACAATTAAGACAATTCAAAAGCTTCATTTTGAAGACTGCTTAATTGTCCTCAGCAGGCTTCACTGATTACATTTGGCTAATTAGAGAGAAGAGTTGGCTGCAGAAGGTTAGACAGTGACTGTCCCCTTAAACCAGGCATGGCTTTAACAGGGACTTGTAGAGAGGTTTTTAAAGAATTTTAGGCTACTAGATCAAAAAAGGAAAACAAGGACTAAGTTATCAGTTTCTAGATCAGCAATATTAAAAAATAAAAATCAACTCAAGTGACAAACATCTTGAAAGTACTGTAGTATTAATAGGAAAAATGGAAAAACGCAAAGTCATCTGTTAATTTTGGGAGGGGAGAGGAAGATACAGGGCTAAAAGCTACCAGGAGCCTACTCTACACAATAAAACATTTCAAAAAGCTGTTCTACTTAAGATAAACTGATTCAAGTCCCAC